TGTATTAGTGCTAGGTCAGGTGCGAAAATGGTCAATATAGGTCCACTCCATCAAGTATCTCCCCCACAAAGGGTTAACATTTTGAATAATTATAACTCTTATAAAATGTGATGTAAGACTCCGATTGTCTTCAAATTACACACATAACCAGACCCAAGGTCTGGTGTGAAGATGGAAACGCGAAATTAACATCCTATTCCATTCAGACTTGGCACATCTCAATATTTTTATCAGCACAAGATGGGATATATCGGTCCACTCCTTCCGGTACATCCCCCACAAAGCGTGAAAATTTTCAATATCTACGAAGCTCATAAAACGTGAAATCTACATTCGATTTCATACAGACTCAGAACATCTTAATATTTCCATCTACATAAGATCTGTTATAAATATTGTAGAGATCGTACCATTCCTATAGGTTTAACAAAAAAAAAAAAAACGCTCAAAGAAAGCCAAACAAGCATCCTACTCTCATCGAATTTTACGCCTACAAACATTTTTGCTAACACAAGATGAGTTGTGAAGATGATATATATTTTCAATACTTTTATCCGTCATAACTTGTGAAACAAGTCAGCGATTCTTTACAACTTGCTATATCTAAATATTTCTCCCAACTAGAAATGAATGAATGAATGCGGAATTTATGATTTCGTATAAAATTGTTAAATTTTCTTGTAATTTTGCCCACATCGATATTATCTGAATTATTTGTAGTATGAAAATGGAATTCTTCGGTCGACTATATCTTCTACGTCGCGCACATTTTATCATTTTCTAAAAATTATCACATGTCTGATATAAAAGGAAGAAAATAACCAATGTTTATATCAAATTTATTTAGGTCCGATACGAAATGGACAATATTGGCCCATTCCTTCATAGAGGGTCAACAATTTAAATATTCATTACAGAAGTCAAAATATATTTAAATAATCGATTATTGGCTGAGGGTATACATCTGTCTGCAAATTTTTTGTGGTTTGTGGTTTTTAATCGTGAAGACAGATCATAACGCAATTTTGACTTCCTCGTCTTTGAGATATGTTTTTTTTTATCAAAAAACTTTGAATATTTCTTTGTGCATTTTTACTTAAATCTCTTTTTGGTCATTAAAACAAAAAAATAAAATAAGTGGCAACACTGGATGTGTATGAGAACGCGAGAATGGTGAGGAGAGGGGTGATGTATGTTTGTTTTTTATTGTTTGAAAATTAAGTTAAATGCCAATGTTAACAAACGTTATGTGTATGGGTGGGAATGTGGGTGCGTGTGTATGTTTGTTCGTGCTTGTGGATGGGAGACAAAAGGATATTTTTGCTGCAGGATAAACGATGTTAAACGTTGCAAGTTGAAATGAATGCATTTTGATAATGCCAATGATGTGGTTGTTAACAAATATTTAGATTTTTGAAAAAAAGGAAGAATATTCTCTGCATCCACCCCTCTTAACTTTCTGAGTCCTGTTGGTTTTTGTGGTCATAATTAATTGTGCAACCATTTTTCGTTTTTTTATTACGTTCCTTTGTATCACATTCACACGCGATTTTTAATGCTTCCTTTTATTTTATTTGAAGTGTTATAAGAAGGGGATTGATTGTTGTTTGTTTGTCTGTCCGTCGTTCTTTTTTTACCCTAATCATAAGGATATTAAATCATTCAAGTGTTTAGATTAAAAAACACTTGTTATCACTGATGTGTTGTGGGAAACGGGAGGAGGAGGAGGAGGAGGGATGGGGAAGATAGATTTATCATGTTTCAATTTTCTATCTCGTTATTATTGTGTTCAGTCGGACAGTCGTCAGTGCATGAGAAAGAGGAGATGCGTGTTTTATGGACATTAGTAAGCCAGTTTTCTTTGGAGGGGGGTTACAATGTTTTGTATTCCATTTTTTTATAGTTTGCTAATTGAAATATTAAAAACGTGGGTAGTTTTTTTTGTGGGTTTGTTGAAAATAGAACCTGGATATCCTCAATTATTACGCCTATTATTAATTATGAAAACGTGCTATTCTGTAATTGATATCCAACGAGCACTTAATCTCTCACGAGACATTTGGGAAATTATGGATGCCACGGACAAAAATTTTGTGGAGACACGTCAAACGACCGTCATTTGGTTTGCTGGGTCCTATTTTCGTACCATATCTCGTACATATGATACTCTACACCACTATGCGTATTTAGTAGAGCTCCCGTAACAAAAACGTTTGTATTGGGAATATAACTCAGGTAGATCATACCAACTATGGTCCAAATAACATTGCTGCATAGTGCATGATAAGACTTCGATAAGGATTATATTAAAAAAATATTTATTGTAGCAATACCGGATACCGAACCGAGATCCACCAAGTGGTAAAACTCGGTTGAATATGAAAAAATCTATTCAATTTGAACTGATATTACATATATGGTTAGCAATAAGCGTAACATCGGATAAAGATGTATATAGAAGCTATTTAAAAATCTCAACAGATCTCGATAAAATTTGGCCGAGTTTTTTTCGAGCAGGAGCTGATGTGCGGTATCAAATATCATTGTTGAGGAGTGCATATTACGCATGTGAGAGACTTTAAAATCAAATCAAATGAAGGGCTAGATAGAAAAACTCCAACAAAGTCAAACGAAATAATTTTCACATATTTTTTTAATTTTTTTGAAAGAAAGCAAAAAATTTCGGAAATAGCATCAACTTTTAGAATTAGTTCAGATTTGTTCGAATTGATCCCCTTTGGCACGAAATATGGCCTTCAAACGGTCAATGAAACCGTCACACGCTGCTCGAATGTTGTTCTGCGATATTTTGTCCCATTTCCAGCGAAGCGCTTGCTTGAGGTGATCCAAAAATACTCCAGACACAATAGTCCAACGGATTGGTATCCGGAGATTTTGCTGTGGCCATTGTGAGCTGGAAATGAAGCGAGGAACCTCATTTTGTAACCATTCTTGAGTGGCGCGTGCTGACTGCGATGGTGCTGCTGAGTCCTGTTGGAATGTCCAAGGTCTGCGGACGAAATGTTTGAGAGTCCAAGGCTTTAATACAACCTCCAGAATATGTTCGCGATAATATTCGGCATTTATTCTGATGCCACGGTCGATTAATACGAGCGGAGAGCGACCATCGGCTGTTATGGCGGCCCACACCATCACCATGGCCGACTCTTGAGTTCTGGTGGCTAACCGAAGGTGCACATTTTCAGCTGACCTTTCATTATGTTTGTTTACAAACTGCCAAACCAAATTCGGCAGTTCACCACTTTCGGCCAAGCGAAACGAAGCAACTTTTTAGCTCTTTTGAGTCTTTTTTTTCGGTTTCGGTGTATGTTCTTGCACTTTTTGGAATTTCAATGGCTTTACCCGAGCTCATTTTTCAATATTTGCCGAATGGAATATTGCGATATGTTCAGCTCACGAGCTATTTTTCGGTCGCCATTTTTCAAGTCGCTTCTTTACTTTTCGAACCATTTCTGCTGATGTTGCCGTTTTCCTCCGTCCACTTCCTTGACTACGTTGGGCTACGCTACTAGTATCACGGTAACGAGCGATGGTACGAGACATAAAAGATGTATTCACATTTAAATGGTGCTCTAACGATAGCCACTTGTGGTTTTCCAGCCAAATATAAAGAAATCCCATTATCTCGCTTGAATTCTATCACGAATGACTTGTTTTTCTGGAAAATTCTCACCAAAATGCTTTTGTACGCTTGTAAACAATAGAATGAGCTGTCACTGGAATAATTGCAACAGCTGTCGGACGAGTGGCTTAGAAATGACAGCAGTCTGAAGTTGCTTGCAGTTTTTTTTTTTCATCTCACCCTGTATATGAGAGCTATGGCTATATCTGAACTGATTTTCACCAAAATCTGAAGTGCTTGCTTTTAGGATGAATTCCGTCGTAAGTGCCAAAAGTGTCCATGGGCCAAACAAATATTGTATGCAAAATTGAATCTCTATCGGATAATAAATGCGACCTGCATTTTGTTCACCAGAATACATGGACAGACGGACGGACGGACTGACATGCAAAAATCGACTCAGAAAGTGATTTTATGAAGATTCTCAAAAGTAACTATGGGCCTACCTCGCTTATTTCTCCAGGTTACAAAAAAATGCACAAAGACATTATACCCTTACCTCTATGTGGTGTAGGGTATAAAAACCGACTCCAACAACTTTGTGTTTCTGAAATAATCACACGTTTTTGTAAAGTAATTGATTCTCTTAATATAAATAAAAATCCTGTTAACCCTCAGACGACAGGAGGTGGAGATTGACTACTATTTACAATAAAAACCAGAACTTCAATTAGCATGTAATTCGAAACCGCATAACAAATCCAGTTTTGTTCCCTATTTCTTTGCAATGGTTCTGCGACCATTGCCGCAGAAAGAAATTAAACGTTTTTTAGGTTTCCCTTTTAGATCAATTACAATGTTCATTTTTTCCTAATAATATTTTCGTTGTCCTCAGAGCTTTTTCTTTCTTCAGTCCCTTTCATCCTTTGTGTGTGTGTGTGATGTGTAAACAGAAATCAGTTTTTAATAAACAAGAAATCTGCACTCTTTTTTTTTTCTGTTAACTGGTTTTACCACAGCCAAGTGGCAACGAAGAAGTGAGTGTTAAGTGGATTGACCACATTTGTGAATGAAAGTGGACGAATGGGAATGTCTGCTGGTGGTGGTGGCAGGTTCTTCCGATTAGGTTTTTGGTAATTCGATATTAGCCAATTTTTTTGGTTAAAGAACTTACAAGTCTTTTTTTCTTCATCTTAGTGATGAAATAACCCGATTTAAAACCGGAAGTATTTTTTCGGTTTACCAAGTTTTTTTCGGAATAGTTTTGTAACACCTGTGTATTGTTTTTTTTTTAGAGGATATGTTTCTGATTGTTTGAAAAAAAAAAACTTTTTTTGCTGCCTTTCAATTGTTTTACTTCACTTGACTGACAAAAAACAATCTTTACCATTTTTCTCCCTCCTGCCGCTTCGTTCAGAAATGTATCCTGTATTCTTGACAAAAAGTGGCTTTAGAAATTGTTTATTTCTATGCGCTGGCAAACGGGTTTCGGCTTTTGCTACTTCAGCGACACCTTCTTCCTCTTTGTTAGCGCCCCTAAAACGTTACTACACCAGCGATGATAGTAAATCAAATGGTGAAGGTGGCGATGGTGGTGGCGGCGGTGCCGACGTTAGTGGTGGTGGTGATGTTGTAGAAAATATTGATGGCATTAAGGTTAGTTCAAATTTCAATCAATTCATTTCTGATCGAATTAATTAGCCGAGCTGTTGTTGTCTCTGTCTCTCTCTCCCTCTCTTCATTAGCTTCCGCCGGAACCCACTACCTGTTGTATGTCCGGTTGTGCAAATTGTGTTTGGATACAATATGCCGAATCGATTGCCAAACTAATGGACGGCAATACGGAAAGGGTTCGCGATCTGGTATTGCAAAAAATCGAAGATCCCAATTTGAAAATGTTTCTTAGTATTGAATTGAAAAGTATCCAATATCGTATGGATATGGATAGAAAATCGGATACAAATGAGCTATCGACATCAAGTTCTACATCCGCAACAACTTCCGACAGCGACAATGCCACAAAGTCATAGATTATTGGGTAGTTTAAAAATGATTCTGTTTTCTTTATGTACAAAATGTTATTGATTCTGTTTAGTAGAAATAGTACAAAGTAGATTTTTGTTCTCAATACTTTATAGTTTGAAAAAATGTCATTCATTATTCATTGACAATTGTTGAATAAAGATTAATATTTATTTGAGTTAGAAATTTCAAAATATTTGGAAATACGTTATAATTGATAGGAAATTAATCTTTTTTTGATGAATTAAAATTAAGGCCTGGGGGTTGATTCTTTCTCTATGAAAATATAATGTGAAAAGATTTTCTCAATAACGTTTTTCATATGACATTTGTTTCCTTTATACAATTTTTGAATTGAGGCCCAGATCTCACTGATTACAAAACATTTTTAGCATACTTTTAGACGCTCACCAAAATGTCTAAATCTAAAAATCACTTTATAGTATATTATAAACTAATAAATTTATAGTGGAAATCTATTATTTGGTTTTGTATAATTTATAATAATATATTTATAATTTTTGGTTTTTGTATAATTTATATTATAGATATTTTTTTAATTCAAAATCTTGTGGCAGCGCTTAAAAGTGTGCTATAAAAATATATATAAAAAATCCCGTGTAAGAAAATTTAAAACGTCATATTTTCCCGTGACCTCATTGTGGACGTTTAAAAGTCGAAGTCGGCTTGTGCCTTTGCGCTATGGCAAATATTGTAATGGAATTAGATTTCGAATTTTTCGACCTAAAAATTTTAATATGAGCCAAAAAGTATGCAACATTTTTTAAATTAAGTTTTGCCTTAGTAAGGTGAACATCATATTTTTATGATTTTATTAGTTTGTTTCTCTTTGGAAACGATCTTAATAATCTGAAATTTGTAATGACAAGAAAAGCTAAAAAGATACTATCACACACTCTCCACTATGTCTGATGAAATGTCTGTGGAAATAAATTGTAAATTATAGTAGCAAAGACATGAATCGCTTGCAATCTGTGTTGTTGCACAAAATTGAATAATATATTCTAACAATTTTAAAGTTTTTTTTTTATTATTTACTGAGGTGAAAATGGTTCTCCTAAATTAATTTTTACGAAAAAAGAACACATCATTTTTAAGACATGGATAAATATTCAAAGTAGGCTTGGCGGAAGGGAAACTGCATGAAAAATGCTAATTTGCATAAAAACTCTCGATGAGCACTTTCAGAATATTTAAGCCATATATTCCCAAATGATTTCATGATTTAATGTAAATATTTCAAATGGTGAAATAACTGGCGTAAGGATTGTTGGACATGTGCTACTTTTGGATTTTCATCCATTAAAATATCGGTCATAGTTGGTTTTTTTATTGCATTTTCTAAAAATAGTAATTTGTTAATAACTGTGCTATTTATTTCTAAAATAAGAATATTTAAAAAATGTGAAAAAATCGAATTCTCATAACCAAATATTCGTATCTTTATACCCTTAGCCATATGGCTAGAGAGGGTACATATCATTTGGTAGGACCAAAATGTGCCTTATCGAAATATCGTTTTTACACCTTAGGTCTCTTTGGACCAAATCAGTTTTAGGTCATTTGGAGTAGATCTAGAAGGGAGTATCCGATTTGACCCAAACTTGGATATCGTAATATTATTATCAAAATTAGTTCGGAGATGAGCAATATCGGTCCACTCCTTCTGGTACCTCCCCCATAAAAGGTCAACATTTTCAAAAATATGTTTTACTGCAAAAAATCAGATGAAAAAATGGACAATATCGGTCCACTCCATCAAGTAAGGGTCAACATTTTGAATAATTATAACTCTTATAAAATATTCAATTGTCTTCAAATTACACACATTAGACTTGGCACTACTCAATATTTCCTTCAACACAACATCTGTTATAAAGATTGTAGAGACCATTCTTTCTGGTACCTCCCCCATAAAGGGCCAAGGTTTTGAATAACCAAAACGATTATAAAATCCAAAATAAGAACCCGGTTCTCTTCGTAATTCACTGTGAAGATGGGATATATCGGTCCACTGTTTCTGGTGTCTCCCCCAAAAAGGGTCAAAATTTTGAATATCCATGAAACTGTATTCCCATCGCTCAGTATGAGATTTGTATTCTACCGCCAAAATTTGAACTTTTGAGTGGGAGACACATAAACAAGTTAGGAACAATAGTGCGTATGATTGTGATCACAATGTATACGCCCAGGTGCGCTGTATGTGTAAATCGGGACATTAACTTTTTTGATGGGATGGGATTTTGATGGGATCAAATATTTAATGCTCGTAAAATTCGGGCCAATCCGTCAGAGATCTCTCTCTTTTTCCTTTTTCATAACAAAAAAATTGATATCGGAAAATAATTTCGAAGAAGGAAATGAAAATATCGCAAACGCTATCAAAATGGATTTTTTTAGAAGTTAGAGAAGAAATTGAAATATTTGTAACATAAAACATCGGCGGCGTATACAGTCAGCAATTTGACTATGGCATTTACTTGAAATTGCATATAAACTCCAGTCGCTTTTGATTTTTGTCTACCGAACAATTTTAGATAAGGAAAATTTGCAAAACAACAAATGAGGATTATTAATTTTCCGACTATTTATACATACATATTTTAAAGCTATTAAGAGCAGACCACCGACTTCCCAGGAGCGGGAGCAGTCCTGGAAGTATGAAACGAGCAAAACGTTATTTTTCGGTTTCGCATAATACGAATAAGGGCGAGCATGCTTTGCTTGTTTTAGTGTGGTGAGCAAAATTCGTTCGAAAACGAGCAGATTCTGCTCTTGTCGAGCCCTCTTTTAGTTTATGTCATACCGTTTTTGGATTTTTTTCGATGTGTATTTTCTCCAACCCCTGCAGCAAGCGAAGAAAACACATTTTTTCGTTTTTTCACATACGACTTCAGTATTAACTGAAAATCCACTTGAAGTACTTGGGAGCGTATGGGTGTCTTGAAAATGTATACGCCTGTGTGTCCAATGCGATAAATATTTATTTTACAATGAACAATATTTAATTTTTACTCTATGCTTTCGAGCCAAAAAAAATGAATTTCACATTTCGAAAAATGTCTATAGGACAATTAAGATATAATTGAAATAGGTCCTACCTAATTTTAGGAATGTACCTTTTTGAATTTCTATGCGAAGAAGGTCTAGCAATATTCCATAACATTTCCCACGTAAGGGTGCGGCCATATATCGGTTATTTTTAAGTATTTTCCAACTGAATTTGAAACCAATTAAATGTACATGTTTTGAAGTCCTTAACTACTTTTTCAAACAATTTTGCAATAATTTCTGCATTTTATGCCTTTGTATATTCTGAGATTTTAATTCTCATTTATCTGTTAATTTATAAAATTATTATATATAAAATACATTAAAATTTTCGGTACTTACAAAATGCACTAAGGCCCACGGAAAATGGTGTTTCGCTATGAAATCCAAAGGGCACACCCACACCAAATGTGGAGGGCAGGATATTATTCAAATCGGTTTTGGCATATTCCGGTAGCACTTGAGGTGTTGCGGTAACATTTACAAAGGCGACGTTTGTTGATTCCTTAGAATCCACTCTACACAACAATGAAAAAAAAAAAGAAAAACAAATAATTTTGAAATTGAAAAGTACATATTTCACTACACACGCAGACACACACACACACACCTTTCATCACTTATTGAAATATCCGGCGAGGAGGCCGTTGTTGCACCATCACTTTGATAATTTGTATCACATGTTGCTGGCGAATCGAATGTGGTTAAAGTTTTCAAATTCGATTCCGAATGCATAACCGATGCGGGACGTTGTGGTGGGGAGATGCCCTCATCGGCATTTGTTTCGAGATGACCGTAAAGACGCGCGAAAAATTGACGCGGTGACGATGGACGCATTTGGGTTTTACCACTGGCAATTATTGCCTGCGAATTTGTGTTTGGGGGCGATATATAATTGGAGTTTTGATTTTGTAACGGTAACATGTTTGTTTTATTTTTATCAACTATTGTTTTGTTTTGAAAACTTCACTTTATTTTGGAAATATAAAACAGACGTCCGCTTTGTTTCAAAGTAAGCGGCGTAATGATTAATTATTAGCCAAGTAATCACTTGTCGACCAACGCACACGGCAGTGATAATAATTTTTACAAAACAAACAAAAAAACGTATCCTCTTTTTTTTGGGAGGGCAGAGAATGCGTAATCCTTTACTTCCTTCACGTACTTGTACAGCGAGCAGAAATTTTGTGTATTTTTTTTACAGTGGAGGCGATGTTTGACAAAACTCGAGCCTTTTCCCCTTTCCCCTGGTTGTCCTTTCTTTTCTACGTATCCTGCTTCAATGAAGTATGGCGGCGTGGTCAAGCCTTATTGTGTCTTGGATGATTGTTCATTATGTTGTGATAGTATTGGTGGTTATTATGCAGCTCTCCTACGTTGTGTTGTTGTTGTTCTTGTAATTATGCTCATCAAACTACAACACAACAACTACCACCAATTATAATAGTCATAAATGGAGGCTTCTTCACCAAAGAGACAACCTGCAGCGTAATTTTTACAGTGTGGGTGAAAAGTTTGAAATCTTTTCTCAATTGAAATGAATAATCGATCTTCATTATCTAAATACTGGGTATATTTTATACGCATTATGCAAACAACAAAATTCAGCAGATTAGACCTAGAAAGTAGAGCTAAAAATAAAAGACAAGTGTATCCGAGTTTTGAAAATTTTCATCGCAAAGTAACCTAAACGTTGCAGTTTAGGTATAGAATGGCTTCGGAAATATTACAGATAACAATATGAGTATTATTTTGGTCAACAATTTCAGCTCTCAAGCTAGTCCTTTTTATTCCCTCAGCCATATGACTACATATGGTATATATCAGTTGATACGGCCAAAAGGTGGCTCATCGAAATGACGGTTTTAGACCCTAGGTCTCTTTGGACCAAATTCGTTTCAGGACATTTGGAGTCGATCTATCGATGTTCGTCCGTCTGATAACTTTCGAAGGTAGTATCCAATTCGGTCCAAACATGGAACATCGTAAAATTATTATCAAACTTAAATCGATTTTGAAGATGGGCAATATCGGTCCACTCCTCCTGGTACCTCATCCACAAAAGGTCAAAATTTTCAAAAATATTTTTTTACTGCACAAGAAGAGAAATGATAATCCAATTTTGCTTCAAATTTGCATCAGTGCTAGGAGAGGTGAAAAAATGGACAATATTGGTTCACTCCATCAAGTATCTCCCTCACAAAGAGTCAAATTTGTGAATAACTCTTATAAAATGTGATGTAAGAGCCCGATTGTCTTCATATTATATACATCACAATATTTTTGTTAATCCAAGGTTTGGTGTGAAGATGGAATATATCGGTCCACTACTTCTCGTATCTCCCCCACAAAGCTCATAAAACGCGAAATAAACATCCGATTCCATTTAGACTTGGCAAATCTCAATATTTCTATCAACACAAGATCTGTCATAAAGATGGAAGATCGGACCATTTCTTCTGGTACATCCCCCACATAGGGTTCAAGATTTTGAATTTCTATGAAGTTTATAAAACGTGAAATTAAGATCTGACGCCATTCAGACTTGATACATCTCAAGATTTCCATTAACACAAGATCTGTTATAAAGATGGTAGAGAGGGGACTTTGTGTTAAATTTTTATGAATGAAAGCAAAAAATGTCGGAAATAGTATGAAATTTTAGAATAAGTTTAGATTTGTTCGAATTGGTCACCTTTGGCACGAATTATAGCCTTCAAACGGCCACATGCTGCCCGAATGTTGCTGTCCGGTATTTTGGCCCATTCACGGCGAAGCGCTTGCTTGAGGTGATCGACACTTAGCATGCTTTTCAATACCCCAGACACAATAGTCCATCGGTTTGGTATCCGGGGATTTTGGTGGCCATTGTGCGCTGGAAATGAAGCGAGGAACCTAATTTTGTTGCGGTGTAAGTTCTTGGACTTTTTGGAATTTCAATGGCTTTACCCCCAATATTTGCCGAATGTTTAAGTTCCTAATTATTCCATTAAACAAAAAAAAAAATAAAAATGTATAGCAAAATTTGGGCACACTTTTGTCCTCCGCTGTAACTCTACCACACAAAATACATATCCAATTTCATGCAGTCCACACAGGGAAACAACAAAAGGATAAACACATCCTTAAAATTAATATAAAAAAAAACAAAACATTACACAAATATATGAAACGTAACGAAACTCAACGACCAATGAATTTCTTGGGAAACACAGGAGAAATGTAGGGGTTCAAATGTGTTTTGGGGGTGGTGTGGTCCTTGTGTGGTAGTTTCATGGTGTTTTAAATATTTATATATATATGTATGTAAAGTTGTATATGTATTTGATGCCACGAACGAGAGAGCGACGAGAGTCCTGTTATTCCCAGGCAAAAAAAATTATCCTTGCTGCTCGAAAACGTATTCCTATTGGCTGCCAGCTGAATTTATGGTGTGAGGTAAACAACCCCTAAAGCGTGTGGCAATCAAACGATAAAAATAATGTTAAACCACACTGAGAGAAATACGGCAGTCATTGGACCAATGAGGTGTTCTTGGGTATCGGGTGGGTGATGAGAGTATTTGTTATGTTTGTTATATTTGGTGGGAATATTGTGTCGTATTGAACAGGGATAAATTATATTTGACGGTGAGATGTAATGTTTTGTAGATTTATGTTGATTTAAATATGTGTGAAATCAATTTTAGATAATAAGTGTTAAAATTTGACAATGAAACAAAGCTTCAAAACAAAGGTTACCTAAAGATTACAAATTGCAGTGGTCAAAACCGCCGTAGCTTACACCTTTTAGAGCGGAAAGGGTTCGAAATAGAGCTGGCAAATAATTAATGCCAATATCAATATTATAAAGTTAAGAGAAGCCTTCTAAATACTTATCGAACCGTTTATGGGGGAGTACTGCAACGAAAATTGACTACGAATTTGCTTGTACTAAATGGGAAATCAAGACCGTTTCTTCTTCGTTTACAAATCGTTGGGAGCCCCTAAAAGTAGGCTCTTAAAATGGATAAATATGAAAGAGTCTCTTTTTACATATGACTCTAACATGACGTGTTAACTAGTTTGTTAAATAAATAAATTGAAATCTTTAGGAAATAATCAATTTTTTAAATTGGAATTTGAAAAAAAAAACTGTTTTTCCTTGTCCTTGAAATTCAGATTTTTTGCCTAGAACTTTTCAGCTCATATCACTCGCCTTCAATTCAATAATAACTCAACGTAAATATGAAAATGTTTGTCTGCATTTCAATAACATCCATTTCGATGATTATAGTAGAAACGTGGGAATGGATAGGGAAGAGGAGATTTGTGTCCTTGTCGTCAAATAGCTCCTCCCATTATTTTGCAACGCTCTTCTCTGATATCCTTTGAATTACAAGTTGTTGGTATATTCTTTTCCCACAATTGTTGTCCTCAGATGTTATGTTATCAGTTTTTGTTTGAAATTTAACAGAAGTGGAAAAAATATTCTTTAAAAAAATACTTGTCGGACAGAAAGGAAATGGTGCGTGTAAATTGCTTCCACAAGGTTAGATTATTTTGATTTCTGTGAAATTCAGACAAAAATATTAAAATTTTTGGAGATAAATTGAAAAAATTAATTATTTTAAAAATTATGTTTTTGGAATGACAAAAAAATGTTTTTTGATAATTATTTTTCTTTCAAAAGAACAACAACATAACTCAACAACCACCAAATCTAGCGGGTTTCATTTCATTTTGTTGTTGTGCTCTCCTCTTCGAGTGTGTGTGTGATAAATGATTCGGCGCACAAATTACCAAATAAATGTTTGAAATAATGTTTCATATTTGTAGTAGTGTTTTATGGCGGCTTTAACATCATAACTTTTGTCCTGGCCAATATTCAAATAAAACTCAAGTTCGTAGTGCCTTATTGTGGTAACAGAATCATTCAATGGAGTATTAATATATTGTGAGGATGAGTTATTAATTAATTATTTTAATTGTACCATGAATGTTGATGTTCATAAATGTCAAAAACATTCCGTAAAACAATTTTTTTGCAATATCAACCCATGAAATTAATGGAAATAAGTAAATAAGTAAAACTTTCGAAGCCACGGAAGTTATTGAAATCTAAAACAAGTTGAGAAAATGAGAATGAAATTTACCGCATACCTCATCAAAGTAGTGTGGAAATATATTTCCCTTTGGATTGTTAGAAATATTTCAAGTTTAAAATAAAAAAAAATATTGGATATTTGTTTATTATCTCTGAGAATATTTAAACTTTGATTGAAGTCAATCAAAAATTATAGACGTGAATGTCAATATTGATGACGTGAGTGTCAATATTGAGCCCTTATGTGCATGTATAGAACTTTCAATTTTGTAAGCGCGGAAAAGTCCTGTCAAAAGGCGAAATGCTGAAATTTTTGAAAGTTTGAACTTTTAGAGGTTACGAAAAATTCTGAAATGGTACTAACTTCAAAAATGCTACCATTTGGTGCTATGTGAACGAATAGAGCTTAAAACTTGAAGTTTGATATGAGAATCAAGATTTGAAAGTAAGTTTGATATGTGAAGTTGATTTTAGAAATACAGGGTGAGATAAAAAAACTGCAATAAAGTCGAACGTCATAATTTTTACATGTCGGAAATAGCATCAAATTTTAGAATAAGTTTAGATTTGTTCGAATGGGTCACCTTTGGCACGAATTATGGCCTTCAAACGGCCAATGAAACCGTCACACTCTGCCCGAATGTTGCTTTGCGGTATTTTGGCCCATTCCTGGCGAAGCGCTTTATTGAGGTGATCGATATTTTGGTATTTTTTAATGCCAACCTTGCTTTCCAAAATACTCCAGACACAATAGTCCAATGCATTTGTATTCGGAGATTTTGGTGGCCATTGTGGGCTGGAAATGAAGCGAGGAACCTCATTTTGTAACCATTCTTGGGTGGCGCGTGCTGAGTGCGATGGTGTTGAGTCCTGTTGGCATGTCCAAGGTCTGTTGCCAAAATGTTTGCGTACCCAAGGCTTTATACACCCTTCAGAATGTTTTTGGTCAGCTGACCTTTTTG